AAATAAAATCTTTAAAAATAAATAAATAAAACTATTGTTTTAGTTATAAAAGAATATATGCAAATACTCTCACATTTTTGTAGGAATGTCTTTAATGGAGAGCAATTGGCAATATATATCAGAACTATAAATTATCTCCTTTTTGACCCACAAATTCCATTTTTAGGAATTTAACCTACAGACATACCCACACAGGTGTGCAATGATACATGCACATTGCAGGACGCCATATAATAACAAAAGACTGAAAACCATCATTTTTTAAAAAAATTTTATTTATTTATTTGACAGAGACAGAGAACATAAGCAGGGGGAATGGCAGACAGAAAGAGAGGGAGAAGCAGGCTCCCGGCTGAGCAAGGAGCTTGATGAAGGACTCGATTCCAGGACCCTGGGATCATGACCTGAGCCGAAGGCAGACACTTAACTGACTGAGCCACCCAGGCACCACTGAAAACCATCTTAATATCCACCAATAGGGGAATGGTTAAATAAAGTATGGTACCTCCATAAATGGAACACTAGGAAGTTATTTAAAAAAACAACACAAGCAGCTCTTTATGCACTGATAAAATCTTCAAAATCTATTGTTGTATGAAAAATTTAAGATGTGAAATAGCATGTAAAGAAAGTTAAAATGTGTGTTATAGAGGGGGATAACACCACTCAGGTGTGCATGTACAACGAACATTACTTGGCTGTAGTTACATAAAATATTTCTAGGATAGGGAGAGGAAACTGGGAAATGGAATAGGGGTGGGAGGGAGAATTTTGGCAGTTTGACCTTTTGTACTTTTTGAATCTTAATTCATGTGGTGAGTATTATCTACCCCCAAAATAAGGAAAATGAAAACAAAACACGACAAAAATTAAAGACATGACACAGTAAAAATACAAGTAATACACAGGGGCACCTGGGTGGCTTGAGCATCTGCTTTCAGCTCAGGTCATGATCTCAGGGTCCTGGGGTCCTGCGATCAAGCCCCATGTCGGGCTCCCTGCTCAGTGGGGAGTCTGCTTCTCCCTCCGCCCCTCCCCCCAGCTCATGCTCGCTCTCTCTCAAATAGTCTTAAAAAAGTAATATACAAAGTCAAAACATTCAAACAGTACAGATGGGTATAAAATTAAAAGAAAAAATGCCCCTCCTCTATACTGTATGCATTTAAAAGAATATTTATTGCATTTTATCCAGCATTTCTGGGTGTTTCTTGGCAGGAAAAAATTCTTTTTTCTAGATTTTTTTTTTTAAGATTTTTATTTATTTATTTGACAGAGAGAGAGAGAGACAGCGAGAGAGGGAACACAAGCAAGGGGAGCGGGAGAGGGAGAAGCGGCCTCCTGCAGAGCAGGGAGCCCGATGCGGGACTCGATCCCAGGACCCCAGAATCATGACCCGAGCTGAAGACAGACGCCCAACGACCGAGCCACCCAGGTGCCCCAGGAAAAAATTCTTTTTATTTATTTATTTATTTATTTATTTATTTATTATTTATTTATTTATTTTTCTTTTTTTTTTAATTCTTATGTTAATCCCCATACATTACATCATTAGTTCTAGATGAAGTGTTCCATGATTCATTGTTTGTGCATAACACCCAGTGCTCCATGCAGAACGTGCCCTCCTCAATACCCACCACCAGGCCAACCCATCCTCCCACCCAGGAAAAAATTCTTTTTAAAGATTTATTTATTTGAGAGAGAGAGAGCAAGAGAGTGCATATGAGCAGGGGGTTGGTTGGGCAGAGGGAGATGGAGAGAGAATCCTCAAGCAGACTCCCGCTGAGCATGGAGCCCAATGTGG